CCCCCCTTTTTTTTTAAAAAACTTTCGACAAAAATCTGGACTCCTTTTCTCCCACAAAACGATAACGTATAAGAACTTCAGAAATAAACAAAAGAAGCATTCTTCTTCAAACTTTTATTCTGGCTTTCTTTCATTACTGCTTTCATTTTATTCTTTTTCGTTCCTTTTCATCTCCCTATTGAACATATTCTTTTGTCTCTATTTATCGGTAAAGTTTCATTATTCCTTTAACGACTTGGATTCTAATTTGTTTTATTTTATAGGTAGCCTCTCTCGCTGTTTGCTGTATTTGTACTAGAATAAATTAGTTTTCTACCTTAGCTATAGGTACAATAAGGAATTGTAACCCAAAGAGTAGGAACTGTAGGCTGATCTACACAGTAGGTTGATTATTAGAAGCTTACAGTAAGAGAATTAGAAGCTGTCTGGTATAACCGATCAAAGAATTATACTTTAAACTAAATACTGTAAGCGGACATCCACGTTCCACTACATATACTAGTTTAAATATGGTGCCACGAGCCGGGAAACCAAAGATAAGATTAATTTATTATAAGACTAACTTGAAGGCAATTGTTCAATTAAAGATTTAAGTTCATTATGTCAATATTAATTCGTAAAGCCATAGGACGTTTAAACAAATGACATGAGATGGGTACAAATAGAGATTCTCATAGAGTCAGATTATTACCAGAATATAGTAAAGGAAACCTCCTGATGTTACAAGATCTCAAGGTTGGTGTTTAGTTAATACTACAGTAGGCCGAGTTCTTCGTGGGAAAAAGGGCCCAGTTAACAGTTATAGAGTATTTTCCTCAGTATGTAAGGATATTGTCACACCTGAGACAACTTCAGAGGAAATTACCTCAATTGAAGGATTTTGGGATCTAGAATCTATTGGTATTAAAGATTCATCAGTGGAAAAGGACGATGACAAAGCTCTTGAGCAGTTTTATTTGTTTTTAAAATATCACGGGAAAAGGTATTACGTGAGTTGGCCATTTAAGGAAGACGTAGCAAATTTACATGACATCTACTGGTTGTGTTACCTTATACTAAAATCAATCAATAAAAGACTAAAAGAAAAAAGAAAACTCCTTTTAAATTATGACCAAGTTCTTAAAGATCTAGAAAATCAAGGAATAATTGAAGAAGTTCCTAAAAAGGAGGAAACATTATTAGTCCACTACTTACCACTTTACTTAGTTGTAACCCCTTCAAAGAAAACAACGAAAATTAGGATACTATACGACGCTTCGCCACAAGGAAGAAAGGAATTTAAGAGTTTAAACGGCTGTTTGTATCGTGGGCCCGTATCACTTCCGAAAAAAGATAAAGAAACTGTTATTGCAGATAATTTGGATGCTGACAAGAAAAGATTTTTCTTATATTTTTTGAGAAATTTGAGCGTTGTAATTGAAAATAAGCCCAGAAAAATTAAACTTTCTAGAACACATAAAGTCTGTGTATCGAATCTAGATTTTTTACAATGTGAGTCAATAAAAGGTTTAGAAAAGTCAGACAGTACATGTCGAGCTACGGAACAAATATATTATATCTTTAGTGTCAGATTTTAGCAAACAAGAAGATAAGAGTATTTTGAGTATTATTGGCAGTTAAAAACATTTTCAATTCTGAGACTGAAAAAGACTCCATTTTTTGCACAAACGACTCATTACATACCACACGTCAGGGAGGCAATTTGAAAATAGTGAAATTTTTGAAACAAAAAGTTGCTGATGTCTGCATAAAAAGCGTTTATAAGGTAAGGTGGAATTTATTGGATGTTTAAGCACTGCTCAAAATTGAATTAGATATAAGTGAAATCAAATAAATTTGCGGATATTTTTGAGCAACTGGTGATCGTCTAGTTTATAGGCAGAAGTGTAAACTTCTGGTGCATGATATTTCCTTTCCCTTCTTTACTTCCTCTTCTGGCTTTCTTATCGCTATTATCATATTCTGCAATAAACTTTGCAGTGAAATTACCTAGAAATATGATTATTGTGCAGCGCCGTAATGGCCTGTGTACGTTTTGAAGAATTGCGAGCAATCGGTGATATTTTCGAATTCGCAGATTAATTTTACGTGGTTTTTTTTAACCAACAAAAAGTCATTAAAGACAATCTTTCCTAACAAACAGTTAAGAAGCAGCTTGTTAAAAATCCAACTTGGCTTTGACAAACCTACTTTTCTGCTTTATGACTTTATTGTTTTTTAATCTTTTCTACAAATTTTCTTTTAATTTTTAATTTGTGTAAGAATTACTTCTAAATTTTTTAAGTTAATGGTCGCATTTTCGTTGCACATTTCCAAAAAAAATTTATTTTATTCACCAGAGAAAAAAGTTTTTTGTCTACCAGTGATATCATATGCAAAGAGCAGGCAAAGAATACCAGAAAAATAGTTTGACGGCTTCAATTCTCAAAAAGTTTAAAAGCAAACTGAAAGTTTCTTTTAGCTAGTCAGGAGTTAGAAAATGGGACTTCAAACTGTTTTCCAAAGAAAAAAATGCGTTTTTAACAACTAACCGTATTCTGTACCATTTAAAGTGTGAATTTTTAAAAAAAATACATTATAGTTTGCTTCGCATTTCTCTTTACTTTTCTTGCTAACTTTTCTACGCTATTTGTTAAGCTTGTCGAGCATCTAATGTTACTTCAGTCACTGATATGCTGTTGCTTGAGTGTCACGTTTTTTACTGCGTAGAATATGATAGCATCTTTAGTATACTTATTTAGACTACTTGCAAGAAACCTTTGTATAAAATATTAGCTAGTTTTTTATAACTTCATAGCTGTTGCAAGTGAAAAAGTTGTTAGGGAATGAGCGACGATGTTTTTTAGAAATTGAACATTTCAGAAATTAAAAACTTAAGTGACCTAATCTAGATAGCCTTTTTTGAGGAAGAGACAAACCTGATAAACTTACAAAAATCCAAATTTTTTTCTTGCTTGCAGTTTATAATTAAAGTTCTGCCTTTTATTCTTTGATCGTCAGTGTGATACTCAAGTGTATTTTTTTTTTCTAAAGTGTTTTTTCTTACGAAATTTTTTGGACTTTTTTCTTCCTTAATACAATTTCATTAGACGTTTTAGTGGCACATTTTTTCCTTTTAGACGTGTAGACACCGGACCAAGTTTCTGAAGAACTCTAAGACAACAGCTTGCAAAAGCATGAAGCGCAATATTTATTACTAGTTCTCTTTATTTCAGAAAACCGCGATTGTACTTGCACAAGAAAAAGATCATCACACAATTGTCAATTTCCTCAAATGTGAGTGAAATAAAAAAGCTAATTCTAGTGGCTTGTAATGTAAACTGTAAGTTTAACAACCATTTTTGCAACGGCAGGTGCAAGAGAAATACCCTCGGCATTAATTTCATTTTACGCTTCTCCCATCGGTCACGGTGGTCAAGGTACAGTGTTTCAAGGCGAATTTGATGGTGAATTGATTGCTGCAAAAAAGATTAAAGAAGCGGAGAAAACAGCACTTTTTAATCTACTTCATTTAAGCCACGAGAATTTGATTAAATTTCGGTTAGTTTTGGAAGATGCTTGTTTCTTTATTAGTACCTTAATTCAGATTACCCTGTTTTCTTTTGAGTTTTTTGAAATAACAATTTTACTGCGTTTCAGACTACTTTTTTACTGTCTAAAGATGAATTTCAGAGGTTTTTTTACTGAAAAGTCGGATATCTATATTATCATGGAACTCTGTTCAAAAGGATCTCTGGAACGACACATTTACAGTGACAAAGAAGTCACAAGAGAAATTTTTTGCAAGTGGGGGGAACAAATTGTCAAAGGAATGAGTTATTTACATTTAAATAAAATCGTTCATCGTGACTTAAAACCTGCCAAGTATGAGGTTTTTTACGTATCAATGCTAAGCCTTTATTCTACTAAACATCTGGCTATTTTATTCCGTTCACTCGTATTTTAGCATTCTTTTGGGGGAAGATGGGTTGTTGAAAATTTGTGATTTTGGTTTGTCGTGTCGAATCTCCGCGTCGCAAAGTACGTCCATTAAAAACGCTCTTGGCACTTATTCTTACATGCCACCAGAGATGTTTATTACGCATCACTGTTCAAAAAAGATGAGTATTCACGTGAAGTTGTTAAATGCTTTCTATTGCAGCTTGTAAATTAGTAACCTAAATTTTAAAACTTCCTTTCTTATTTTATGAAGTGACATTTCAAGAATATTGTCAACAACTTTCAGACTGACGTGTGGAATTTTGGAGTGGTAATGTGGGAGATACTGATGAGGGTAAAACCTTACGCACGTTGGAACTATTATCAGTTGACTGAGGGAGCACGTTCAAAGTTTGTTTTTGACATTTAAACTGACTAAACCTTTACTGTTAAAAAACAAGTATTTTTTTTTTCTATTACCCGAATAAATAAAATAAAGGAAGTTACAGAAAACTTCTTCTTCCGCTTTCTGATCAGTTTCCTGAAAAACTGAATTTGATGTTGAGCAAATGCTGGAAACAAACTTCAAAAGAACGTCCAAGTTTTGATACAATTTGTGAAGAGCTTTCTATTTTAATGGTGAACTTTTACTAACAGTAGTTGACATTTATTACGGCACTTTTAGCAACTACGTTTTCACTTGAATTCTTAAAAAGGCATTACATACTGTAGGCCTCAGTTTCGCAATGAAATTTTATTTCTTAATAAGACAGATTCTAGGAAGATCCTGAGTTTATAGAAATCAGGTGGGAGGAATCAGTTAAGAAGTGGCAAACAGCAGTAAGAGATGAGATGGAAAAGATGCTGGAAGAAGTACGTAATAAACAGGAAAAATCGGTTAGAAATTTGAAATCGGTAGTGCTAGAAAACTTTCCTTTCTTTTACAAATGAGCAAGAAATAATCTTTCGCGCTTTGCAAGATATTTCCATCAATTTTTGATTTCTTCTTCTTCTTTCATATTGGAATGCTTAATGACTTAGTAAAGCAGCATTTTTACAGTTTTTTTAAATTATCTTCTTTTGAAAATCTTGAAATAATTTTTAATGTACAGTTACGCGTTATCAACATTTTCACTGACAACAACGAAATTTTATACTTAGGAAGAGGAAAAAGAGGAAAACGTATCTGACTTACCAGAGAGCAGCAATCAGACGGTAGATGCAGGCGCCAATGCCGCTGCAGTAGTTGAGAACAAGAGATGACGTCGAAACGTTCAACTCTTTCCTCAAAAGTCAGCCGTTTAGAAAAATGACAGTGATGAAGCAGAAAAACAAAATTCTAATATGTGACAACCTATTTGAAAAGTCTTTACAGTACTTCAGCATACATAAAAGAATGCTAAATGTTTCATCTTGTAATGTTGATAAGTGATCCTCGAATTGCACAAAAACTGCATTTGACAAATCAAATACTTGAAATAAATTTGAACATTTCATCATAATAAATTCAAGTGCTTGTGGTTATAGTTCGTAAAAGTAATAAATGCAAAAGTTTAATTGATCAATTAATCAATTTTTCGTGTCATTTTATAGAACACCTCTAACTTCTTACTGCAACATCAAGTTTTCTATTTTCGGTTTTACAGTTTATTTTCTGTGGCGGTTGGTCAATAGATAAAGCCTAAATAAAGTATATAAGAAGTCTGTCTTCCAAAAACAACAACAATAACAAAAAAAAAAGCTTTCGCTTTAAACACTCGTTTCTCCCGTTTCGTCCCTCTCTGTTTGCATATCTCGTATCTGTTCTCGAAACTCTTAAAATATTTTTTGCCAATTATACTTTTTTGTTTTGCGAGTTCAGTCAAACTAACTCAATAAAAGTGTGGTCGCTTGAGAAAAAGCTTGAGAAAAAAAGAAGAAAAAAAACGTTATTAAGATTCTAAGAAGTAAAAGTTTTATCTTTACTATTCCAAGTTATTCTCGGTTTTGCCTAAACTAGAACCTTATTTATACTTGTTTAAAGTATTTAACTTGTTAAAACTGTTCTTGGATTCTTTAATATCTGTTCTTAGTAGATCTGTGAATTGCATTGTACTTAGATTTAGAATCAAGAAAAGGCTTTGAACCAAGTTGTTCTATTGCAGATAATATGTTTACTAAAACAAAATAATCTGAAAGAATTGTGATGTTGCCGCAGCAAAATGGTAGAGCTACCTGATTTTTAGCAGACCGCTGCTCAATTCAATTAATATTTAGATTCTGAGATCAGTCATAGTAGCCTGTAGAAGACAGCAAGTAAAAGAAGAAGTACTTTAGATCAACATATTTATAATTTAGATACACGATGCGGAGATATTTTTGAGCTTGGTAGAGGTTACTGGAACAGTTTCACAGGTTAAATATACGAAAATGAAAAGAAAATGTATCAAAATATTATTGTTTCTTTCCAAACGTGCAAAGTTTGACACTCACAGAACTAATTTTCTTAGCCTAGAGCAATTAGTGTCAGTGATCTATTTTTTATATTGAAGTCATGATGGGGTTTTCGCAAACTTGTTTCTGTCCCGTCTTTACAATTCGTCTTCCCAGTGCGACGTCAGTTGAAAATTTAGTGAACTAATTATCATAGAAAAATTGAAGGCTTCTTATCCTTTTATTCTAATCTGAGTAAGAATTCTGAATTCTTCTTGTAATCATAAAAAAATTGAAATACCGTGAATCTTGAAACCTAAAAGGTGGCATTTTTAAAATGATTTTTAAGCTACTTGTTATGCTGTTGCTTATTTTATTTTATTTTTTAACAATTGCTTATTTTAGTCATAGAAATAAAAAAAAAAGTGAAAAAGCCTTCAAAAATATGAAAGAAATGCTTAGTTTTCAGATTTAATTTATGTAAAAATGTGGTTTTTTTATTCCAAATAAATTGAAAACAAAATTCTAAAAAAAGAAGCGTAACGATTTTTTACAGAATTTTCAAAGCTAACATTTTTCTTGAAAAAAAAAAATTATGCTATATTATAGTGAAGTTCAAGTCTTAAGAACTTATATTTTTTACAATTTTTTCTTGAATCTTTATCTGTGCGGTGCGCAAGTTGTTTCTTAATTGCCTTCCCAATATTCATTTCAATAAACTTATCGCGGCAAAACGATACTAATATTTGCACATTTTTAATTGACTGACTGCGGTAAAAATGTGAGCAAAATAGCAGGCAATGAGGCATAACAGTTGAAACTGAAAGCTGATTCAACACCTATTCTGCATATTTCAGTTGCTACATCGTTACCAGTGTTGTTCCAAATTCTAATTTTTCAGAAAACAGGGTTAAGTTTTATAAGAAAGAGAAAAAATAAACGAAAACTTGTATGCTAGAGTGCTTGTAAGAAATAAATTTGTATGCTCTATCTCTATCTGTAGGGATACGTCACAGACCATAATATGGCAGAAAAAAAGTCACAGAAAACTGCTCAAGTCAGGTGAGACAATCATTTCCCAGTAGAGAATTTGTTGAATATCAAAAAATAAATCTGCTGGAAGTCTTCTAAACAGTTATCGTTGTTCCTGCTGCGAAAAATAAAATTGGATTTTATAGTTGAATCACCTGTTTTTTGGTTCAAGAGTCGTCGTGAATGCGACATATTCGACGTTCAAAAATTCTTTTGTTAGTGAACACCTAGCATCAGAGAAAGACATCACCTGGATTAGCGAATATGCATTCACGAGAACAGCATTTATAATTTGTGTCTGAGGATTTTCTTCTGAGCAGATAAAGCTCTGTTTTTTGGTCGACTATTACTTGTTTGAGACAATGACTTCTAGTGCTAAGTGACATTGTTTTGAACAATTCTGTTGTTATGTTTGGTCTCGGAGCTCACAAAATTTAAGCTTATTCCTCGTGACCAGGATTCGCAGGGACGGATTGCGGTGTGTTGTGATGATAGTTCAGGTTTGTTCCTTCTCGAGCTTTTCGTTGACTTGTTTTTCTCGTTATATTTTATTTCAATTGCCAATTCTTTTCCTTTTTTTTCTTGGGAACTACTTTTCAAAAGTATTTATAACTGTCAAGAAAAACTATTTTTTTGGGACTTATAAAATCTTAACTAGGACGCACAAGAGCATTTCTTTGATTGTGTAATATCAAAATAGTCTGCAACGTTGCTAGTTCCATATAAAGATCAAAAAAATTCCATACAAGAATTGAACAGATTTATGGGAAATGTTCTTTTTTCTTCTTCAATTTACATGAAACAGAATGAATAATGAGAAACAAAAAAGTACCACTTTTTTGCAGTTTTAACGCAGCACAGTTAAAGTTTCAAAAAGTATGATTTCATTCGAAAAAACTAACTGTACTTTCACAATCTAAAATTTTTTTCAGTAGAAAATTAGCAAATTTCGTGACTTTTCTAAAATTTTTTTGTTTTCAATAAAGAACTATCAAGCTGAAAGTGTTTGTTTTGTGCAATTTGTTCTTATTAATTTTGTCTGCTATTTTCAATAAAAACCTCTTTTAATTTACCCAAATTACTTAACATTTAAAGTATAATATAAGCGGCAATTTTTCTTTTGAAAGTGCCGGCATACTATCTGAATGCAAAAAAGATTTTTTTCACTGAAAAGAAAAAAGTGAATAATATTGTTGGTGGAATAATATCTGCAAGTTTTTCGTTTCGTCAAATTCGTTTATCTTCAAAAAAGAAAGGCTTTATACGATTATGACGAGAACGTCCAGTTTTGTAATAAAAATAAAAACTTAAATACCATTTGCAAATTTTTGAATTTACAAAAATGATAATTTTTTGCTAATTTTAGAGTCTGAATATAAGGTTAAGGTTTTTCGTCTTCTACAGCTTTTTCTTTCATTACTTTGACTATTACCTGCATAAAGAATTTTACATAATTTATTTAGGTTGCCCAGCTTGTCACGCTTATCGATGATATCTGAAAGGGCGAAACACAAATATTATTTCACCACCGCTGAAAAAATACTCAGCTTCATCTCCACGTATGTAAAATCTGTGT